TTATCGAAGGACTTTTGGTTAGCGCATTTATATGGCTCTTAAATTATTTATGGCTTCAAATTGACATAATTTCTGCTTTTCCTTTACACTAGTAGATGTTTCTTTTGTTTGAGTGTTTATGCCATTTGTTGTTTGAATATTTTATAATCATATATTTCACTAAATTTCCAATGCTTGCAGCTGTGAAGATGATAGTTGACTTTCTTTTGACTGGCAGTTAGCAAAACTTAATTTAAAAAATAAAAATTGCTATTTTCTGTTATGCCATGTTTAAAGCCTTGGGTTCAGTGGCTTAATCTCATTAAAAGCATTTAAGTTCTGCCTTCCTTTTAAACTATTTGCAATGCCTTTTTTTACTAAGAATCTATTTGTAAATCTATGTATATATTTGCAGTTTAAAGTTCTGAAGGAATGGGATGGTATGACTACTGATACGATGCTGCTATTATGGAGCATGAGGGAGCGATACAATCCCCTTTCAAATTTCAAGTACTACTTTCAAACATTGCCAGAAACTTTCAATACTGGTAAACTCAGGCTTCCAACTAAAATAATCACATTCTGAATTTGTAATTTAGCCTCATTTATTTAGGAGGAAGTTTGGTTTGATGAGCTACTCGATTGTCGCTTGAGATCTTGATGATCTTCTGCTCTTACTCCATTGTTGGATTACCTAAAATAGAATATTTGAATTACAATCCTCAAGCCACTTATTTACTTTTTATAGGGCTGAGTTTCGGAATCGATGCTCTTACTATACTACATGGAACTCTATTATTTGAAGAACTCATGCAAGCTAAAGCGGTATATTCTGTACTAAACCTCTCCACACCTCCAATCTTCTCTCCTTCATTACACCCCCATGCTTTTCTCTTGGGGCATTTACATACATAGCATGCAATTCTTATGCATTTACATATCTCACATCACTTTCATAGGTGCACACATAGCACTCAAAATTTTAATATCACATAAAAAATAGCACTATTATCATTTTTAAAAGTGAAATGCGCCTTTTCATGCATAGGTTAAAATCACCAAAGTGCTATGTATGCACATATGAAAAATTAGGTGTGAGATATGTAAATACATGTACATATGAAAAATTAGGCGTGAGATATGTAAATACATAAAAATTGTGCTAGGTATATAAATTTCCCTTTTCTTCACTTATGCTCGTGTTCTGTAATTGTAGCACTTGCGACAACAATATGATTCACTTTGTCCAGCATTATGTGCTAGCTACCCAGACATCTTCAAAGCTCAGTTATACTCGTGGGATCACTATCTTTGGGCTTGTGAACTCTGGTATTCTAATGGCATGAAAGTTATTTTTAGTGATGGAAAGCTGAGGACCTGCTTAATTCCTATTGCTGGGCTGCTTAACCATTCGGTTTGCAATCAATAGTTTCAAACTAGATTACAAATTACTTTCATGTAAGACAGTATTCGAGTCTCCTCTTATTTATTCTGATGTTTCTAAATCTTCAGCTGTTCCCCCACATATTACACTACGGTAGAGTTGACTCGGAAACCAAAGTCTTAAAATTTCAACTTGCAAGAAAATGCAGAAGAGGGGAGCAATGTTATCTTAGTTATGGAAGCTTCTCTGGGTCTCACTTGATTATGTTCTATGGGTTTTTACCCAATGGCGACAACCCGTATGATATAATTCCTTTAGGTAATTATCTTTTCCATGTTATAAGCTGCTCACCCTAGTAAATAATTCCATAAACATCGGCATCATCGGCTGCTATTCTGACAAGTGTTTTAGTGAAATGCTAGTGAAAGCAATAATAATTTAACATTTATTATGTTGGTAACCTATGATACTCTAATATAAATTTAAAACAAAATTCTATCAAGCCCCTCTGAAATATTATTTACAGAGTTAATACAGCAATAAAACACCTCATTAATAAGATAAATAATAGGTAAAAAAAATTAGAAAACTTTACCAGATTAGTTCCATATAGAAAAAGCAGCCGATCCATTTAGAAAGAGATGCTCCACAGTTTCTATAATAGAAAAGCATTGATATTTGACTAAGGCCAAAATTCTGAAAAACAGAATCTAGAAATAGAAAATTTTTAATCAATCTCCAATAGCAAATTGAAGCATTAAAATTCATACATTTTTTTTTTATTTTTTGAATGATTTAAAGGATTCATGTCATGATTTAGCAACAAAAACTTTACGCTGATTGTCGACCATCTAATGCGTGCACTTTACATTCGGGGTTTGGGACTCAGCAACTTAAAACTTATAAACAAAATTTCTTAGAACCTTAAAAAATTATATCCGGAACAGAATGATAAAAAAAAAAGTCTTCTAATGCTGAAACAAATTCAGCGTCAATAACTTAATAAAACTAACCAACTCTAGAAGTCTACTGTCATAAAAATCAAAAAGCTTGAAATTAAAATTTTGAGGAACTTGCAATATCGAATAAAGAAAAGACATAGGCCACTCCAATCACCCAACTAAAAGGAGATGTTACCAGCATGCATACTCCCAAAAGTAAATTATTCAGTGAAGCCTCTAATACCACAAATTCTTCCAAATCCATGAAGAATCATGCTTAATAGGAACCACTAACCAATTAGAATTAGAACAGTGCATGCTATTTTTAAAACTAGCCTATAAATTGTTAGATTGAAACTTCCTAACTTACATGAGAATGCTTTCACCGAATCATTCACTCCTCTCAAACCAAATCCACCTTCATCAAAAGGAAAACAAAGCTCCCTCCAAGAATGCTATTGATATGCATACAATTTTGAAAACTATCAGTACACTGTTAAATTTGAAGAGACAACTTCTTACCCCTTAATTATCCATTATTATGTTTCAGTTCTTTCTTTTTATCATGATCATTTCAATTTCTTTAACTATAAGAAAATAATAATAATAATAATAATAATAATAATAATAATAATAATAATAATAATAAAACTATAAGAAGGTTAGCCCGAACTGTATATATATTACTTATTTGCTTAATGAGAAAGTAGAGTTTTTTTATTCTGCAAAAATATATATGGCATCAGAGCTCAGAAAGAAATCCTAGCTCACCTTTTTCTACCGAAGCCTCTCCTTGCACCTGGCAGTCCCTGCAAGCCCTCCACCGGATCGTCTCCTTCCCTGTAGGTGCAGATCATCAGCTCATTTGGTGCTTTCTTCCCTTCTTGCTCGCTTGTTTCCCTTGATAGTTTTGTTCACGAAACATATTCTTCGCACTCCCGATTGATCCTTCCCTACGGGTGCAACTCCTCAACTGTTCCACTACCTTCTGCCAAGTTCCCGCAAAGAAAAGGTACGACTCCACGCAGACACGTCTTTTTGTTTCTGTCCGAGCTCCTTCACTATTTGAATTATCTTTGGGGGGATCCAGTATATTAGTGGCTTCCACTCTTCTCTTTCTAGTAGGGATCCCAAATCCACGAGATGATTACCGTGTGTCGTCGACAGATAATTTCTCTCTAGTGGAAATCTCGTGTCGACGACAGATAGTTTATCGCTCTACTAGAAATGCTCAAAGAAGCTTCGATCAACACCTCATCATGACGAACAAATACGACATTAATGCCACTTTTTCAGAAGTTCTAAATCTAAATGTGGGATGTTGGGTTCTACATTATCTGAAATCTCTTTCTGCATCACCAATTACAAGCTGTATGACAATAATTTTCTCTGGTGCTCTCAATTGATCTTCATGTAATCTGTGGTAAAGAAAAAGAAAATCATCTCACTTAGAAAAATTTTGCATTAGAAATTACTGAACTCAAAACATTGGGCATGAAAGATTGGATTACATGGTCATGTCACGACTTGTCAACTCGATGACCATGAGAATTGGATAAAACGTTCTTCGATACAGAACAACGAAAAAAATTTGGGATGCTGCAAGAGAAACTTATTCAAGTGTTGAAAACACTTCTATGTTGTTTGACATTGAACCTAGATGATATATGATCCGCGACAAAGTAAGTTGAATATAGTCAATATTTTAACTCTCTCCAAATATTGGCTCCAACTAAATATGTGTGAAATGTACGCATGGATGTACTTATAAGACTCAACTCTTTACTAAATCATTGTTGAACAAAAGAGGACCTTCAAGTTCCTTTTAGGAATTAATAAGGAGATGAAGTCAGAGGAAGATTCATAGGATCCAAACCTTGTCACTCAATTCTTGAAGTCTTTGCTGAAGTACGAAGGGAAGAGAGCAGGAAGAAAATCATGATGAAAGGTAATTCTAGTACATCAAATATTGACAACTCAGTTTTATATACTCACAAATCATCTCATTACAACAAATCTTAAGAGGAACCGACTGCGATGTGAACATTGCAAGAAGCTTGGTCGTTTGAAGGAGAAATGTTGGAAATTTCATGAAAAGTCCGCAGACTGAAAGCTCAACTAAGTCAAAGGTGATGTGAAAAATCAAGCAAACACAATATCAAAGGAATAGCCTCATGAACATAGTCGATTCAGTAAAGAACAACTTGAAGCTCTTCGAAGGCTTCTGGGACTATATTCTAAGCCTTCTACTAGCCTTTTATCACATTATGATAGTCTTCCATTACTACTCTTGTTGCCTTCAACAGGAAGATTCAGTCTTGGATAGTGGACTCTGGAGCATCTGATCACATGGCAGGCTATATCACTAGTTTTCAATCCTTCAACAAGAAGATTCAGCCTTGCAGTCTTCCATCTGCTATATCAATGCTTTCCAATTCTTCTATTCTTAGAAGCACCATGTTGTAGTTAGAATCACAAATGACTTCGTTTCATTTGTGGGAGGAAGAGAAAGTGTGAAACTCACAAAGGACCTTATTCTTCAATCTGTTCTTTATGCTCCTAAACTTAACTGCAATTTAGTATTTATTCTTAAACTTACTAGTGACATGAATTGTGTTACTAAATTTTACCCTAATTTGTGTGAATTTCAGGTGATGGACTCGGGAAAGGTAATTGACAGTGCTGACAAGTATCATGAACACTATTTACCCACTAGGACTCCCATTTCAAAAGGACCACTCCATTTACAATCCTTTGGGTTAAGTTATGTATTTGAGTCTGTTTCTCATGAGAGTTATGCATTTTCTCCTTGAACATCCTAACTTCTATTATATTGAAAAGTTGCATGACCATTTTGTTATCAGTAAAAAAGTATAGTTTAGATCTTTGAGAAACTTGCCAATTTGCTAAAGACACTTGACAAGCGTACCCAAGACTACAAAACAACCTAAAGAAGGGGAAAAATAAGAACAAAGTAGAAGATAGAGGACAAAACCAGCTTTTTCCGAATTAAAGTATTTTCCTCCTATGTCGAAGATTGCCATTCCTCACTTAAGGAGTGATATAGAGGAGGATGCAACCTTCATCCAATCAGTTGAAAAAATGAAGAATAATTTTGATGTAGATGATGAGTTTGAATTAAATTATGAGAGTGAAGCCCAATGGGTTTATTCAAGGAGAATGATTAAATTGTTAATATTAGATAACTAATATCAGATAACTCTCTTATGTTGGTGCTAGTTCCTCATTATTTTAAAGAAGTCACTCCATATCACTGTGGTGTTGAAGACATTTAATATACCTCATTAGCCTTAGAGTAATGCATCAGGGACTTTATTTTATAAGTCCAAGGAATATCAATGCCAAGATTATGATTGACCTATGCAATGCCCGAAGTCTGAAGAGTACGTGCCTACGAATGCCTATATACTATTCTCTAAAATTTCAAAGAATGATGTCAAACTTAGGTGTTCAAGTTAGGGTCACTAAACAATAGGCTAAATACTTTGAAAAGATCTTAAATCTGAAAGGCCCACGAGTATTATGTGATGAGAACATTGCACAACTAAATGTCCTGGATTTATTGGATGGAAGAATTCTAGAAAGATATTCTATTGTGTAATAAAAAAATTAGTTTGACATCAAAATTGAAAAGAAAGAAAATTCATATAAAACCAACTCTACAAGTGATCAGAAAGAAAATATCAAGCCTGCTCTATATGAAATAGAAGATGATAGACAAACATCTACCATGGATGAGTTGAGTGAAATTACTTTGGGAACTGGAGAAAATCCTCACCAAACCTTCATCAGTGCACTCCTGCCTGAAGATAAAATTGAATGAATAAAAACATTGCTCTGTGAATTTGGGCTGTTTTCTTGGTCATTTGCTGAAGTACATGGCTTATCCTCTAATGTAACTACTTACAAGCTAGTCATCAATCCAAATGCAACACCTGTCAATTAGACTCCGCGAAGAATGAGACTTACGATTGAAGAATAGGTGATTGTTGAAACCAAAAAAAATATTGAAGTTGGATTCATACGATAAGAGAAGTATGTTGATTGGATATCCAATATTTAGCCTGAGAGAAAAAAAGAATGACCAAATTCGCAGCTGTATTGATTTTCGAGATTTCAATAAAGCATGTCTAAAAGATGATTTTTCACTCCCTAGAACAAAATTGCTCGTGGATAATACTTCGAATTATGAAATTTCTTTAATGGACAAATTATCAGGATATAATCAGATCAGAATGAAATCAAAAGATGAAAAAATACATCATTCAGGACACCTATCGGTACTTATTGCTATGCAATCATGCCTTGTAGTTTGAAGTGTGCTTGAGCAATATATCAAAGTGCTATGTTGATGAT